ATTGTCACTGCGACGCTAGAAGGCCGAACGATACGAGTGGATTGACCGAGTGACAGAAGCGACGAAACGATATCAGCGTGGTGTTCGATGAAATGAACTGTGGTAGTGTAGTCAATCAAGGCCGTTCCGATATCTACGTAATTCATCATTTTTTCATGCTTGGCGTGATAAAAATCCCTGTATACAGAAAATCCCAACGAAACTATCTCACACGCGCGGCTATCAAATTTTTGATATGTAAAAGGTCGTAGTATTTCTATACGTACGTGTTACGCGTGTTAATCTTTTATTCAGCAAATTTTAAATAGTCAATGCGTGACTTCTTTCTGCGTGTAGATCAAGTCCTCGTCTTTCGAAACATCCTGTATATTGCAAGGGAATAATTAAAGAATTTTATCGTTCAGCTTTCTTCTTACGAATAAATAAATAAAAGTTGCACGTGACCTAAACCTAACCTAAACCATGCGTCTCAATGCTCTCTCTGCAGATACTCTAGATCGATACTGCAACAATAATAATTGATCCTCGAATGATCAGAGAAATGAAATTCTGATTTTTTTTTTTTCACGTAGAGTCACACTGTATGATAGTTTGTTCAATCGCCTGGAATTAAGTATTATTTAATGGACGTTGAATCCGTAAGAATCTAAAAGAAACCCGCAGCCGATAAGTTATGAGTCGTCAGTCATAAGGTCAGACTGAATTAAAGATCAAGATTATTTATTTGCGGTAGTGATTAATCGTTCTCGATTCATCGGCGAAAGTAGAGGTGCCTGAGAGAAATGCAGGACTCTTTTCCCGCGCGCAGGATTAAAGTGGTTCATTGTTAAGAAACGCGGCGGAGAAGAGGTCGGGAGAGAAGGAATTGGAAGGAAAACGAGATGTAAAAGAATTCACTTTGCGCGTCCAATTCGATTGAAAAATATGCTAATTCTAAATTGTCGAGCGCAATATCGTTCCAGGGAGAGGGGGAAGGGGGGGGGGGTGATTCCCCCGATAGATTGTAAAAATTCGAGATGAACTTTCGGATTTCGAAATGAACGCGGTACGAGTGTAAAGGGAAAAATTGAATAGTATACACACGTAATACAGGGTGTCCCATTTGAAACTTTACACGCAACTATCTCCCAAACTGTCTCGTTACAGAGGAAAAGGTTTCGAATGAAATTTACTAGAGACATACATCATTCGATGGTCGCAAATCTTGTTTA